AGTACCCATCTTATTTGGCCTCTAGAGAATGTAACCTCACAATGATATGATATTGGTTCCATTGCACTTAGTTAAGTTCTTCCCACCATGCTTAGTGTGTGAAGGGGTTCAAGAATAGCCTCACGATGATACGATATATAGCTATCCTCGTTGCCTACACTCACCTCATCATATGTATATGGATTCCTCCTGAGTATAAGCATGCACTTGTGTACTCCCCCATGATAGGGTGAAGCCGGTGTACAAGTCATAAACGATTGGATCCACCACGGTGGAAGGCCACGAAGAGATATTCTAAACATCTCTCGCTTATCAACTTAATATTGGTTTGGTTGAGGGTTTTAGGTCTCATCACATATAAACATACATTTTAATCTCTATTAAAACTATTTTGGTCCTATTACAACTATTGGTCCATCCCTGATTGTTTTAGTTGTACATAATACTCCCACTATGCTTTTTAAAACGGATTTTTAAAGCAAGAGTATATGATACTACTAACATAAACTTTGCATTCATTTGATGGACTATATAGTTGCCTTAGGGCCTTAAGGATGATTATGAACCTTTGTTTAGATTCAACACGAGCCTTGTGTGTTGAATCTCGGTCTAGGAATGAAGATTGATTTTAGTTACGCGTTTAATCACATTAAGGCGTGTTGTCTTATGGGCGTTGGACCCAACTACTTCATTTTCATGCATATCATATAAAGCAAGAAAGAAGTACTTCAAAGTAAAGGTGAGCTTATGCTCATTACAACATTTGCATATAACAAATTACTTTAAAGTAAAGAAGAGCTTAAGCCCTTTTACAACATTTGATCAAATCAAATTACAACCAAAATCTAATCTACACATTCCCATGGTTCAAACAAATTTGAAACGCCTTTCACATAGCTCAATTATATTAGGCTTAGGTTCATAATCACCCTTTAATTAATTAACACTTTAACTAATTAAATTGAATGCAACATTTTCATTTGGTTTTTGTATCCATAAAATTGATTTAAATGGAGCTAAACAAAATGAAAATCCAATTCTCATTTAAAGAGACAAAACAATTTTGTTCTCATCCTATTTGGGCCATCTTGCAATTAACCTCAACTTTTGGGCCATATTGCAAATACAAAAACTTTTGGGGTCACTTTGTATAATACACAAAAGTCACAACTTCATGTAAATACAACTAGAACCCAAACTTTTTAATAATGCAAAAAAAACTTCATTAAAGGAACAAAACAATTTGTCCTTTAGCGTTTTTGGACCTAAACGTAAAAACGTAAACTTTTGGGCCAAAGTGCAAATACACAAAAGTATCAAAACTTTATGTAATTGCATAAAAGCCCCAAAAGTACTCCCTTTGAGGGAGTGGCTGGTTTTAGGGAGGGATAAGGTTGGTGTGTGTGTTGATTTGTGAGTTTTGTCAAAAACATGCAAGTGTATGTAAGATAAGATATGTTTTTGAAAATAATTCAAACACAATTATTTCAATCATCATTTATACAAATATTTAACACTTTAAATACATAATAAATCATTTAAAAACATATCACATAAACTTTATGAAATAATTCAAAACTTTGAATCAAAACACCAAACCTTTTTTGTTCTTGGCAAGAACATCAAGAACAATGAAGAACATCCATGAAAAAACCCAAATTTTTCCATGAACTTTTTCCACCCAAAAACATTCCAAAACCATTCTTACTTAAGGGAAATAACATCTAACCAAACTAGGGTACTTAGGGGTTCCAAAGAACACATTAAAACACTTTTTAACAAGTCAAACAAGAACCCAAAAATTCACCCTTTTGATTTTGGCCGAATTTTCCCAAAAGCATGGCACCAAATTTTAGCTCCAATATTCATGCTCATATGAACAACATCTACAACATTTGAGATAGCAAATTTTCCAACAAAATTTACTTTCAAAGAAGCAAGAATAAAGCTTGTAACAATTACAACTTTTAAGATCACAAACTTATGAACTACAAAACCACAAAAGGATTCACCAACTACTAGACCTAGGCTCTGATACCACTTGAAGGAATTATTTTGAAAAACATGTTCATTTGAGCAACATCATATAGCATGCAATTAACAATTAAAAGGCGGAATCATGCTTGTATGCACTCAAAAACAAAACATTGACCATGAAATTCAAAGCCTAGTAGATTGGTGAACCAATAATCAACTCAAAAATAAGTGAGTTGAAATTAATACCTTTGTAGATTCCTCTTTGCATAAGCAAAGGCTAATCACCCAAAGAGATAGGGCCTTCATTCCTTGCTTCTTAGATCCATGGATTTGGATGGAAGAATAGGTTCTCCAAGTTCCCAAAATTGAGAACCTCTAAGTCTCTACACCAAGGGAGAGATTGGATGAATGAATGAGTGACCTTGGAGGATTAGATGACTAGCTAATCACCTCCAAGGTGTTGGCCTCTTTAGAGAGAAAATGGAGAGACAATTCTCACCCATTTTCCCCAAAAAATAAACCCTTATTTCACTTAATGAATATTTGGCTATAAAGTCATTTATATAGTCACTTCTTTAAGTGACCTAAACAACCAAAAACCCTAATTCATTCCTTATGGCCGGCCATTTAGGGATTTTTGGGCTTTTGGGCTTTAATGAATCTTTATTCATTAAATTGTCATACAACTTAAGTTAATGGGCTTGACGTTCGAAGCCCATTGGGCCTTAAGGTCCAAAACTATCCCGAGGTCTTTAACGAACTTATTCGTTTGATTAATTAACATATTAATTAATCCTTGCCATAAATAATTAAACCATTTCAATTAATTCTTACTCATTTCCATTTATTTCGTCCATCTCTACCTTACACGGTGTACGATCCATTAGGTTCCTTTTAGCGAGGTAGTGGGCGATTAAAACCATTTTACATCGATTGTGAATTGAAACTATTTTCAATTCTCCCTTTAGTGATTACACACGTTTAGGGCTTCCACAAACCATGAGTGACACCTAGCAGTATGTCATGGTTACCCAAGCTAATCAGAAGAGGTGGAGAACCTATTCAGTCTGGGATTACAAATGCAATACGGTCCTTTCTCTAATCTAATACTCTTGACCACATTGTTTGGTTTGATAGTTTATTTTCTCATGTCTACTATCCAATGTGTGTCTTGTGCTTATATGATTACCTTGAATGTGATTAGGAACGCATTCCCAAATCTCATTCATACTCTGGCCAGAGATTTCAAATCATATCAGAGAGAGTATTCTCCTCAAACGGTTTTGAAGGTTAGAGATCCCTTGTTGCGCATTCACTTGTCTCCATAGCTAAGCGGCTTGACCCCAACGATGCCGTGGACACCCTCCTGGTGGGATGACTTTGACATAATCAAAGATCAAGGTCTTAACCACAAGACAACTATGATGCCTCAGGTCAAAGGACTACTTTGCATTATCCCAACCATGAGTTCTCATGTGACATGGAATATGAGAACTCTTCGTTGATCGCGTTCAGTGAACTCATTCTCTATTGAGCACCTACCGTACTTGTCTTGATGTCACACACACCAATGAATCGAGACTGTTCACTCTCCCTGAGAGAAGACATAGTACGTACCGATCTTAACGGACTGCCAATGCCCAATTGGCAATCCTATGATCAGGAACATTTAGGATGTGTCTACGAAAGAATGGTCTCAGGAATCTAACTTCATTAGATTACATTCTCCCAATCACATATTCCTTGGACTTTATCGTTTAAGCATATAACATTTATATGAGACGGCTCAAACAATAATTTATGCCCTTTATATGTTAAACTAGATTAGTTTAACATGTGAAATGTCCGTAAAGTATCATCACATGATTGGCTTTAGGGCACATTTCCAACAGTTTCATGTGAGTTCTCAGAAACAAAACCGTGAGGGCGTGGTTGAGGCTCAAAGTGCACAATATCATGCTACAACGGAGTCGAGCCCGAGATGTGGTGAAATCCGGGTCGGGATGTGATAATGGTTTCAAGTGTATACCAAACACTAGAAACGCCCAGTTTTTTTTTTAAACTATTTTTTTTTTTAAACTTAAGCGGCACTGGTACTAGTAGGTGGTGGTAAGAATGTAAGATAGCAACAAAATTGTAGTTCGGAACAAATAAAGCTTTTTCTCTGCTGTGCAAAGTGACAAACCAATACAAAATTAATTAATAATTAATTACAGTAAAATATGTCCAGATGCATACACACACATATATAAAATGGAAAAGGATCTTCTTTCCAAAAAAATAAGATGGGAAAGGATCCTCATCGGATCATTTTTCTGGGGATTTGAGGAATCTTGTGATCATTACTGTTCATCATACATCGTGTGGTAAATTTTCGTTAGATATTATTTATATTTAATTTTAAATTTTAAATTTTAAATGATTTCTGACCGCACGATATACAATAAACGGTCATGATCACGGGATCCCCGGATTCCTAGGAAAAGGATCCGGCGATGATCATTTTCCATATAAACTAACCCAAAATCCTCTATATATAAAAAAATAAAAATAAATAAATAAAAATACTTTATCACATTATATTTATGATTAACTATATGTACGTATGTCCATAATCCTTGAAATCGACAATAATTAATTTGTGTATACATTTTATTTGTTGGATAATTAACTTCCATATAAAACCAAAGCATTATATATACAGCAAGGCACAAGAATATAAGTATCCATTTACATGTAAGGGACATTTTTAGGTTCAGTTCTAGCTAACGTCGACAACAATGTAAAAACAGCCCTCTCCTAGGTTTTTTCAGCAAGAACGTGCACCATGTCCATCCTTGTTTTATCCTCCATCGACATAGAAACATTTAAATAGCTAGCTGTACGCAATAGAATTTTATGGGAATATTTGCCATTGCTTAGCTACAAATCGTCCGTCGAGATTTTCGATTACTTATTGTACTTATTGATCTTTATGCCATCAGTTGTTTGTTCATCATCAGCACAAGTATTGAATATTGATGATGGAAAAACATTACCTTATTGCTGTTCTTATTTTTGTTCCGTGTTTGCTGTTACGCATTAGGTGCGCTACCGCCCAGGTTGGGTACAGCGGAAAGGAGAAGGATGCTCTTGCTGCCCTCAAGACTAGTTTCAATCATCCCTTCCTAAATGCTAACTGGACGGGTGATCCATGCTTCATGAGTCAGCCTTCCATGTGGTATGGAATTCAATGCACTAATTTCAGTATCATCGGCCGCGTCACTGGAATTGTGTTGGACAGTATGGAGCTCAGAAGCAACATCAAGCTCGACGCGTTCATGGACTTCACTGAGTTGGCAACCCTGAGCTTGAAGAACAACTCTCTATGGGGAAACATGATGGACTTTAGTCTCAACCTGAAATTGACGCATATTGATATGTCCGGCAACATATTACATGGGGAAATTTCACACTCGCTTTTGAGTCTTGGGATGTTGGAGTTGTTGCTGCTTCAAGATAATGACTTCGGGGGTCCTATTCCAGAATTTAACCAATTGACCTTAAAGGCATTCAACGTCTCGAATAACAATCTTAGCGGATTGATCCCAATAACTCATGCTCTCCAAGCATTTGGCTATGATTCTTTTTCTGGTAACGCAGGATTGTGTGGGCCGCCTTCTTCCATTTTATGCAACTCTTCTAGCACCGTTCGTGGAATTGACAACCCAGCATCTGGTCAAGTTGGTGAACTTAGTTCTTCCAAGTCCGAGGTTAAGTTAAGCGTGTACTGGTTCCTTTTGGATGTTGCTGCTCTTGTAGTTGTAATTTTGCTTTTCCTTCTTTACTATAAGAAATCACAGAAGCTAAAAAAGATGATGAAGCAATTGGAGATGAATAAATCGGCATCAACGAATCAGGACGAAAAAGGTGAGGTTGGTGATGATAAAGACAAGAGGATAGAAGAAGGCCGTCAAGATCAGACAATGAAAGCTGCCGAGGTTGAAGGACAGGATCAACACAAGAGAGGGAAGCTGGAATTCGTTCAGCCCCACGGAGCAGATGATCATCAAATATTTGAAATGGGAGATCTTCTAAAAGCATCCGCGGAGAGTTTAGGGAATGGCATCTTTGGGAATAGCTATAAGGCGGAGATAGTGACGATGAATAACGTGGCGGGCAATCAAATTAAGCAATCCGTGGTAGTTAAGCGGCTAAGGGATCTGAAGCCACTGGTTAGTGAAGATTTCACAAA